CGTGGATATCGCTCTGACCCACAGCTCCCGCCCGTGGCCCCTGAGCCCCAGCCTCGACTCCTCCTTTGCCCCTCTGACCCCTCCATCGCCCCAGCAGGGCCTGCGCCGCGGCTCAGCGCTCTGGGGATCCTCTCTGTGCTGGTCCCACCTCTGACTGTCCCTGCAGGGCCTTTCCTGGTGCTCTGCCCGTGCTGTGCCTGACACTGCTGTCCCTCAGTTCCTAGATCAGCCCCTCAGGAGCTCCGAGCCTGCCGACAGAGACGACATCCTCGCCCTCACCCACGTAGGGAACAGCACGTGGTGCTTCTGTCTTGCCTGTTCGGGGGCACCGAAAGCTGAGACTGTGTAACTTGGTGGCTCATCGCGGTATAAAACAACTCCTGGAGATGTCAGTGCTCCAGAAACGACTGAAGTGGATGGTTACGGTGGCAGTTTGTACATCCGAACTGTTGTGGTTTCAGCTGGGGTTGTTGTCTCCCAGTTTTATTACGATGTTTCTCACCACCTTCCTGTTCCCTGGGTTTATGTTTGGTTGGGATGAGTGTTGGAGCAGAGATGTGCTCGGAGTGGGGAGGGAGGGAACTTCTCAACAGCCTCCAGACAGAACAGTCTCCATGGGCAACAGCTGGTGGGGTTAGGGGCTCAGAAACTGAAGGGAGTTTGACCTTTGGAGGATACAAAATGACCTCCCAAAGGAACTAACTGCCCTGGAGGTGCCAAGGGATTTCCTTTGCCTCCGACCTTGCTACGGCTGAGGGAGGATGAAAGGAAATAACCATTTGGCATGGGAGTTATCCTGGTAAACTCCAGGCTCGGGGAATGGTTCATTCCCCCTCTTATCTGTGCCTAGTCTGTGACTTTTTCAAAGACTCCTGTGAGTGAAAACCTTTTCTGTGGCTGGGCAAGCAGTGCAGTGAGGAGATTCTGCCAGAACCTGGTGCTAGAACAGTCAGCTGAGCATGACCTGTGTCTGTGGTGGACAGGCTCCATTTTCCATGGATCAGTCCGTGTGTTTCCATTCCCTCAGGACCTTCACTCGCCCATTGCTGTGCCTGATGCTCCCTCCTCGCCCAGCCAGGACTTCCCTGCAGACTGGAGCCTCAAAACACGGATCCTCTTCGTGTCTCCCCACCCGTTCAGCTGGGCAGAACACCTGAAGGCTCAGGAGGAGGCTCAGGGCTTTGTTCAGCACTGCAGAGCCACGGAGACCACCCTGCCCCGGAGCCTGCAGGTGGGAGCGGTGAGGGGGCACTGCAGCTCCACCCGGGGCCTGGGCACCATCCTCACCGAGTGCCCTGCACCCTCAGGAGCCCAGGCTGTCCACGGAGCTGCGCTGTGCCTTCCAGCAGAGCCTGGTCTACTGGCTCCACCCCTCGGTGCCCTGGCTGCAGCTCTTCCCCAGGATTGGGGCCGACAGGAAAATAGCTGGAAAGGCTTGTCCCTGGGCACAGGACGAGGCCCTGCAGCAGGTGCTCATGAGTGACTGGTGAGTGCAGCCAAACCCTGGGGAGTGCTGTGGGAGTGAGGCAATGGGGTGTTAATTAGTCATGGGATCACAGGAGGTTTGGCTTATAAGGAACTTAAAGCACATCTCATCCCACCCCTGCCCTGGGCAGGGACACCTCCCACCAGCCCAGGCTGCTCCAAGCCCCATCCAGCCTGGCCTGGAACACTCCCAGGGATGGAGCAGCCACAGCTGCTCTGGGCAACCTGTGCCAGTGCCTCAGCACCTCACAGGGAGCAATTCCTGAGCAATATCCACCTGTTCCTGCCCTCTGGCAGTGGGAAGCCATTCCCTGTGTCCTGTCCCTCCAGGCCCCAATCCCAAGTCCCTCTCCAACCCAAAGCACATGACCACAGCAGAGCATTCCCTGGTGTAACTGAGCTGTTGTATTCCCAGGTCCATGAGCTTCACCTCTCTGTACAACCTGCTGAGGGCCAGGCTGTGCCCATACTTCTACGTGTGCTCGTACCAGTTCACAGTGCTGTTCCGAGCGGCAGGGCTGGCGGGCAGTGCCACACTCTGCGCCCTGCTGGCACCCACCACCAGGGGCCTCAGGGAGGCCATGAGGAGCGAAGGTGGGTCTGGCACTCCTGGAGTTCTAGGGCTTGGGATGGAGCTCAGAGATGATCCAGCCCCAACCCCTGCCCTGGGCAGGGACACCTCCCACCAGAGCAGGTTGATCAAGGCTCAGCCAACCTCTCCTTGAACACTGCCAGGGTTGGGGCAGCTACAGCCTCCCTGGGCAACCTGGGCCAGTGTCTCACCACCCGCACAGGGAAAACTTCTCCCTAATACCTAGCCTAAATTTCCGCTCCTTCAGTTTGGAACCAGTCACGTGTGAGGGAGCACATTCCACCTGGGACTGGAGCCCCTGGGAAGATGGAGGAGCTGTGACACTGCTCTCTTCCCTTCTCTGCACCAGGCATAGAGTTCTCCTTACCTGTGGTGGAGGAAAGAGCCAGGAGACAGAGGAGCTCCGGGGAGAACGTGGAAGCAGAAGTGTCTGGTGGCCCCAGGGCAGGCAGCAGTGGGGAGGATGCAGAGTATGTGACAGTCCTGGGCAGTGCTGGCATTCCAGGGCAGCTCCAGGTGCACTCCATTTGGGAAGCCTTCCTCAGAAGTATTGCCCTCCTAACACTAGTGCTGTGTTTGCCAGGGAATCAGCTCCCAATGATGATGATGATGAGAGTTTCTCTTGGCTCGAGGAGATGGGAGTCCAAGACAAGGTGAAGACCCCAGATGCTATCTCCATCCAACTGTATCCTTTGCATTTCCAACCAGGAAACCTGCAGCTCTGACATTGCTGAGGTGCAGGTTTCAGCTCTATAAGAGCCTTTGAGAGCTGATTCCCAAATGTGAGTCCTCACATTCCTGGATGTTCACAGACTGTGTGTGTCTCTGGGCTCCTTTACAACTACTCCTAGGAATCTGAAGCCAGGATAAGGATGCTGTTGAATGTTCCAGGAGCAGTTATGGGTGAAGCTTGGTGGGTCAGGTTTTTTGGGGTGGTTTAAGTGAGTTGATTGGTCAGAGGGGTTTGGGGTTCACTGCTCCAGCTCTCCCTTTGCACGTGGGGGTGTATGGTTTTCCTGCGACTCTCATCCCAAGCCGCAAGGAGAAGCAGGAGGTGCAGATGGATCACAGACCTGAGTCCCTGGTGCTGGTGACAGGCACCAACACCTTCACCCTGCTAAAATCATCACCTGCAGGAGCCTGGTGGCAGTGGCAGGGCCCCAGGCAGGGCTGCCCCCAACACTGCTGTCTCCCGTGGCTTTCCGGGGGGGCACGATGCAGACGCTCAAGGTAAGGGGCACAACTGTGGGTCAGGCCTGGCTTGGTGTCACTTCCCTCAGGATTGTAGGAGTTCTGGGAGCTAAAGCTTGAGGCAGCATTTTGTCTGCAGTGCAGCCTATTCCCAAGTCACCTGTGCCCCCACACATCCTGCTGACACACCACATCCCACTGTTCTCATTCCCAGCTAGCAGGAGGCTCAGCAGAGCTCCCAGATAAAATGGAGGTTAAAAGCTTCTCCTGAGGTCTCAGACTATCACCACCTTGCACCAAGGAGCCTCTGGGCCATGGCTCAGCAGCAGTTCCTGCAAGGAATGGGTTGGGCTGGGAGGGACCTTGGATCCAGTGCCACCCCTGCCCTGGGCAGAAATGGATGAAGCCTTGAGCAACCTGTTCTGGTGGGAGCTGTCCCTGCCCAGGGCAGGGGATTGGGGCTGGATGATCTGTAAGGTCCATTACAACCACTTAACAATCCATGATACTAAACCTCCTGGCATAGAGGCCTGACTTGGTTTTGCATTTGCAGGAATGAGCATTTTGAAGAGGAGGCAAAGTCACATGCTCTGTGTCTGTTACACACAGTTCACTCCTCTATGTGTTTTAACCTTTTCCATGATGCAGCATTAATGAGGAAAATATACTTCCTCAATAAGAAGCTGAATGAAGGCCAAAACCTGATACTTCTCCCTTCAGCTTTAGGGACTATCTAATCAATGCTCCATTCTGGGAGCTGTCACAGGCAGTAAGACCATCCCAAGCCTCATGTCCTGAGCAGGAGGTGACAGCACTGAGATGTGCTGATGCTGTCAGTGACTCTGTGGCTCTGCAGTGTCAGATCTGCCGAGCATGAGGCCTGGGTTGGGTGACTCCAGCACTAATCCTGCACTAATCCTGTTTCCTGCCCAGGCTCGCAGTTCCAGTGCCCGCGCCAGGGCCCGCGGGGGCTACGAGGACGTGTTCAGCCTGGAGGTGGTGGGACCTGTGCTGCCCCATACCCTGCACTCCCTAACAGCTCTGCTGGGCTCGGCGCAGCGCGGAGCCTTCCGCGCCCTGCTGTACCCACACGGACCCAGCACCGCCTTCAACACCCCCACAGCTGTGCCCGGGGTGAGGGACACCTGCCCGGGGACGGGATGGAGGGTGATGGACACAGTCCTGCCTTTGGGAATGGGGCTGGAGTGATGGACACAGTCCTGCCCTTGGGAATGGGGTTGGATTGCACAGCAGTTGGGAAAAGTTGCCTCGAAGTTGGGGCACTGAGTGACACAGAACTTTCCCTCCGTGGGAAAGGGATGAACATGGGTTTGTACCTTGTTATCTGGTAGTCCCTGTGGCTTCCCATTCCCTCAGAAATGGAATAATGGAAAAGTAGGAGCTCCCAGGGGGATCCAAGTGGCCTGTGGGAATGACAGGCACTTCACACCCCAACACCTATTCCATGTGTTTCCACAGGAAGCTGTGCCCCAGGATCTCTCTGCGTGTGGGCTGCATCCCAAGACTTTGGATCACCTGAGTCAGTGCCCTACACTGGGAAAATCTTCCATCCGCTACCTGGAAATGAAGGATTATGCCTACACCTGGAAGGTCTAGGGGTATCAGTCCCTGTGTGGAGCAGGATGTGCTGCAGGATGCTCCCAGGTGAGCAGGGACACCGTGAAGTCACAGCACAGACAACAGCTGCTGCACACAGACACTTACAAGGACTGGGAAGGGAAGGCCTTGGGAACTCACTTTTGTATTTTAGAAAGTCTATTTTAAATAAAACTCTTGTTTTTATGGGTTGGGTTTGCTGCTCTTGCACCACATGGGAATTCAGCACTCATTCAGAAGTAGAACCTCCCAGGGCAGGGATTGGAGCTAGGGGAGCTCTAGGGTCTCTTCCAACCCAAACCAGCCTGGGATTCCATGGATAGGTGGAACTCTTGGCAAAACCCCTTCCCAGCTGCTTTCAGCAGCTTGATAGCTGCACCTTGGGCTGTGGCACCTCCTGGTTTGGAGTTGGCTCTGAACTCCACACAGGAAGTTGGAAGTCAGAGGGATGCAGAGGCACCTTGGAGCATGGGACACTGACTCACTCTCTGCTCCTGAGGCAGTTCAGGGCAGCACAACCACGGCTGACTTGTTCTTTACACTTCTCCCTAGTGAATCCAGAAGTAAATTAATCAGTTTTCCTCCTCTGATTAGCATCAGCCACCAAGATCCAGAGCTAATGGAATTGTCGGAACACCACGGCATTTGGAATGTATGTCACTGACACTTCCAGTCACTCCTTCCCAGTCCTGCCCTCTGCTCCAGGGCTTTGCTGCTGGGAATGAGCCTTGGTGAGAGCAATTTGTATCCAGACACACCCTGGGATCTGTGTCCTTCAACACTTGCTCAGAGCTCTGGGATGCAGCTCTGTTCCTGAGGGATGCTCCAAGGAACACAGTCCTTCACCTCTAAGGTATTAAATCTAGAACTTTCCTAGTTATTTTTAAATGGAAACCTCAGTGGGACTGGAGCTCTCTGCTGCTGGGAGAGAGCTCAGGGAACAGAGACACAAAGCAAGGAACAAGGACAGGACTGTACATTCCCAAATTCAGTGCTATCCAGCAGTGAGCCTGGAGCTGCCCTGAACACCATGGACTGATCACAGTCCTCAACAGCTCCCCAGATTCCTGCTCTGTCCTACCTCTGAGTCTGGGAGCACTGGGTGGGATGCAGGACTCCATCCCAGGGATGGGAGCAACTCCTGAGCAAAGTGCATTTTCCTGTATTTACTTGGGATATTGCACACCTTCAGCTCAGCACAGGGTGGAGGAGACGCTTCAAACACTCAGTCAGAGGCTGCAGGCAAGATCCAAAGGGAAAAAAGTTTAATTCAAGACAACCACGTCCATGAAAATGAGGATTAACTGAAGCATTCCCAGAGCTTGGACAGACTTGGAGGGGCTTTTCCTCAGAACCAAACCCCACTCTCTGCTGCACACGGAGACACTGGTCCTTGTCCCTTCAGGGCAAGGAGACACCTTGTTCCACAACACCGACAGGATGCACCAGGAATTCCTCCCCTCCACATTCCCACTGCCACGGCAAAGGGAATGAGGCAGGGACTCGCGTGGGTCTGAGCAGCCTCACTGTGTGCTCCTGCTCCACACCAAGCCCAGATGGAACACAGAGACCATAAAAACGACTTCTCAGGGCTAAACACCTGAACTCCCTGAGACTGGAATTCCTGGCACCGGGCTCCGATCTGCAGGAAGTGTGCGATGCCCTCTCCCATTCCAAGTGCACAGCCAAAGGATTGATACTTAGATAAAAACTAAAACAGGAGGAAGAAAAGCTTTTACATCCTCTTTGCTGTCCACCTGCCCAAACTCTGGACTGGGATCTCCTGGAGGGCAGAGAATCCTTATGGAAAAAGTTAAGCCCAAGAAATTCATCACTTGTAATAGTCCAACCAAACCAAACCAACCAGAGCTGCTGATGCTGCCTCCTCCATGGCTGCTGAGTCCTCACAGAGCCACTTCCACACCGGGTGTTCCTTCCAAGAGGCATTGGGGCACGTCTGAATTCCTCTTTCCAGGCTTGGCATCTGCCGGAATTACCTTCTGCTGAGCAGGGATGAGGATTATGAACTTGTGCTGCTTTATTGACTGAGTTGGGTACAAGAATTGAAGCGCCAGGGATCTCTACCCCTCCCTCCTCCAGCTGCAGGTCTGTTCAAGAGTTTAAAATTCACATGACCACAAATCCATACAATCAGCATCAGGCAGTGTGTCCGTGGCTCCAGCACCAGGAACGCACGGGGGCCGGAGCCGCTTGGTGCCTCGTGCGTGTCCTGGGGCACGGGTGGGTGCCGAGGGCCCTGGGCCAGGCCCAGAGCCCCCGCCCAGCAGCACTCACCTGCCCACGGGGAGGTCTTCCCAGGGCCCTTCCCGAGCCAAGGGAAT